CCCTGACCCCAGACCCTGTGCTGTCTCTGCCCCCGTGCCCCTGACCCAAACCCTGTGCCCCTGACCCAGACCCTGTGCCCCTGACCCCGTGCCGTGCTGTTTCTGACCCTGTGCCCGTTGTTGTAGGTGCGTTTGTGATCTGTTGGACCCCAGGCTTGGTGGTGTTACTCCTGGACGGGGTGGATTGCCGAAGCTGTGACATCCTGAAGGTGGAGAAGTACTTCCTGTTGCTGGCCGAGCTGAACTCCCTGATCAACCCCCTGATCTATTCGTACCGTGACGAGGAGATGCTGCACACGTTCCGGAGGATTCTCTGCTGGCCGTGTAACCGCGGCGGTACCTTCCAGGATCCCATCAAATCGCACATTCTCATGCAGCAGATGCTGACCTCCAGCCAACGAGCTTCCAGCTCTCGGGAACACTCCACCTTGTAAACACAGTGCCTGAACAAACCCACCCCCAACTCCCCCCAGACCGGCCTCCCTAGGTATACACCCCCAGCCCCAGCCCAAATACCCCTGAATATACCCCCACACCATCTCCCATGGCTTCTGTGTCTGGTTACACAGAAAGATCCCAGGTGAGGTGAAACCTTTGCAAAGGTCGACTTTTTGCTCTGACGATGCAATCCCCACCCTGACCCCCACAGTGTGGTGAGGGGGTAATTGGGTGGGTGGGGTGGGGGTGCAGGGAGGTGCCAAGTTGGTGTCCTCTCTCCCGGAGGCTCAGGGAGTTTCTGGTGTGGGCCCTTTGTCCAGAGCGACTGGCTGATTGAGAAGGGGTCTGGAGGGGTGGGGTTTACACTGCAGGGTACGAGAGGCCCTTCCTGGCATTTACTAGCCCCCACCCCGCTTTGCATCATATCTGCTCCTGCTCCCTCTGGTCAAGTAGGAAATACCCCAGCAATCAGCTCCTGGGAGGGATAGAGTTGGGGGGTGGGGGAGGTCCCTCGGATATTTCCCATCGGAATTCTGGGCTCAAGCGGCAGTACCAATGTCTGTGATACTCCTGCACCTTGAGGGTACGGAGCTTCAGGAGGAAAGCCTTGATGGGATTGTATTCAATTCCTTGTTTCTGGAGCCACGGGATAAGGGGGAATATGGTGTACCTTCTTCCAGTCTTTTGTTGTTGTTTGTTTTTTTTTCTGTTTTAAAGAAGAAATATACCCGCTTGTAAGAGCAGCGTTCCGATAATGGGTGGCTGCAAGATTTGACATTTCGTTCCCGGTCTTTTCCGTGGAACCGCACGGGGAAACACCCATGGAACATTGGCTGGGTTTTTGAGACCGGGACTGAGTTTGCACACAGCAGAAAGACCGTGTCTTCGTTGATTTTTTGTTTTGTAAATGCATTAACCACATTTCATAATGTGTTGCCTACTCCCGCTCAGGGTGCTGTAAGACACTGGCGAGGGGTTCGGGGCTGAGCCGGGAGAGTGTTGGGGGGTGGGGGAAGGAGTTTGGGATTTGTGACTGCCTACATTTCGGGCTGCCTGGGCTGTGGTTGGCCTAGGGTCACCACTGGGAAGTGATGGGGACCTCCTGTGGGCCACCCGAGGCTGACCGCGCACCCCCTCCACCTCCCAAATTGTCCTGAGGGGAGGGATGGGTCTCACTGGAATATTTTACTTTCAACAGTCTCCTTCATGCCCCCAAGCTGGGGTTTGGGGAATGGGAACCATCTGTACCCTTGCTGTGAGCCTTCCAATAGCTGGTAGGCCCCACGTGTTGTGTGCTGTTGGTTGGGAGCGTCTGGTTTCTGGAGTGTATCATGGTTATATTGGGGCCTCCCCTGGATGAATAGCTTCCTGATACCTGGCCCCGTGTAAGCTCAGGATGGGCCTGTCTGACTGGGAATGTGGTATACGCACGCACGCGCTCTCTCGTGCTGTCCCATGTACTACATAAGTGTCTTGTTTCTTATTCAGTCTTCCTCACTCACTCCCACACTTGTGCTCTCTCATGCATTCGGCCTCATGTACTGTTGCTCCTTCTGCACTCCCCCACTCTCTGTCTGCGTTCTTCTGTTTTTTTTCTTGTCCTCTCCCTCTCTCTCGCTGCACTGTGTGTGCATGCACACACATGTCTGTGTGCCCTGCCTGATTTGCGAGGCTCCCAGCCATTCTGAGGGTGAGGAACAGCCTCTTCCCCTCCTCGTGGTGGCTGACCCCTTGTTGGGGGGTGGGGTGGGTGCACCGCAGGGCCGGGGCCTGTATCTCCTAGAATCGGGATGTTCTTTGTCTCGCTTTCACCCAGGACAGGCCTCAGGGTATGGCCTGGTTCCTGCCAGAGGCTCGGGCTTGGGTCTCCCTTCTATTTGGGGTTCCTATCTCCTACTCGCTCTCTGTCTGTCTCCCACTGCCTCACTTTTTTTCTCTCTCTCTCTTTAACTCCCACACCCCTTCCTTTTGGTGTGCGCGTGTGAGTGTGTCTCTGTCTGTGTCCCTCCCCCTCTCCCCCCCACCCCCCGTCACTTGCTCTCTCCTGCTGTCGCTCTCTCTCTCTCTCTCTCTCTCTCGCGCTCTCTCCCCCTCTTCCCCCCCGCACCCTGTTCCCCACAGTGTGTACCCAGAGCTGACAGTGCCTGCTCAGTGAACAGTGTTGTATTCTCAGACCTTCTGTACTGAGTTGTATAGTTTCTTCTGTAAAGTTGGACTTTTAATTATTGACTGTCTTTTTATGAAAGAATTAAAAATGACAAAAATTTCTATTAAACACAGGTTGGGTCTGTGCTCCCTGTGTAAGGTCTAGTCCATCCTCAAACTCTGAATCTCAGTCAGATCTCCCTTAGCAACTGCAGCAACAACACACACAGAAGTTGCTGGAAAAACTCAGCAGGTCTGGCAGCATCTGTGAAGAAAAAAAATCAGAGTTAACGTTTTGGCTCTGGTGACCCTTCCTTCTCCTGTAGCAACTACCCAGAGGATTACTGGGACTGTTCGGAAATAGAGATGTGTATTTGCTTTTGTTTTATAAGTTGTGACTTGTCTCTGAGTGTTCACCTTGTATAATAATGAGTGGGAACTCTGAACTGGCCTTGGGGCTGGGTGTGGCAAAACTATTTTGGCCTGGCATACGTTAACTATTTAACTATCCACCACTAATCAGTGGGCTTTTGTGGGACACTGGTGGTATCTGTACCTCTGGGCCAGGAGGCATGGGTTCAAATCTCACTTCCTCCAGAGATATGGCATAGCATCACTGACCAGGTCGATTCTAAAAACGCTCCACCATTGGCTACACTAAAGTGTACTTGCGTGAGCTGATTGGTGTAGTGTGAGTATTCAAATAATACACTCCTGCCCTCCCCTCATTTTGATTAACAAACAGCGAATAAAATTGCTGTCGACCTTTTCGCAGTTTGATTACAGGAGTCTGCCTACTGTTGATGCTCACAGCACTCGATTGGTTAAGTCTGGGTGTGGACTCTGAGCCAAGTAAAACTGCTGGAATTGCAAGGTGCAGATATTTTGTAAATAGAGAGATTTTTAAAACAATTTGCGAACGCATTTTCCCTCACAGCTTTACGATGACCTGGAGCCGGCCAACTCTGTATTCACCTAGGATCTGAAATACACCACAGACTGGTGATATATGGGAGCTGAGATAACAAGGTGTAGAGCTGGATGAACACAGCAACATCAGAGGAGCAGGAAAGCTGACGTTTCGGGCCTAGACCCTTCGTTTCCCCATCTGGTCACTGGAGGGCAGAAATTCCCCACCACTGCCCGCAGCTGACCTTTGATCTTTCTCATTGGTGCTCCCTCTCGATTTCTCCGACGATGGACCCAGGGGAACGAGGATATGAGTAAATATTGTGGAATAACGCGCACGCGCACAGCCTCAGAATAGCCATAATGGTCAGTTTGACTTGAATACCTTTAATGTTCACACAGTGGCTCACTCATTTAAACAGGTTGAGTGCAGAGTGATCTCCAAGTGATTTTTTTGTTAACCTCATTGTCTACTCCACCTTGGGTCGTAGACAGAGCTGCAAGCTCCTACCTGGCGTCTGCTACTTGAACAGCCAGTTACAGTTCCCTCGGTCCCAGTTACTGTCTCCTTTTACAGGCATGTTACACCTGGAGCTCTGCCAAGTGATAGTGGAAGGGAATTTGAGTAATGACCCCTCCCGAGCGCGCTCTCCATCCCTGTACCAACTGGGAGACCCCTTTGCTTTAAAAGGCTGGTCCCCTTGTTCTAGATTTCCCACGGCAGCGAATGTCCTCTCAGGATTGCACTGATTGGACGATTCTGCTCCCATCCTTTCCCTGATTGGGTCTAAAGATGGATTTGTTTTTTTTTTGTTGATCAAAGGCCAGTGAGTCTTAATGAGAGGCTCTCGTCCTAACAAAGTGTGGTTTGTTGTACAATAACAATTAGATGCACGATACACAAGCATTTTTCAAAATTCATTTGTGGGGTGTGGGTGTTTGTGGCTGGGTCAGCATTTATTGCCCGTCCCTAGTTGCCCCTTGAGAAGGTGGTGCTGAGCTCCTTCCCTGAGCAGTCCCCTGTGCAAGCACCTTTCTCCCACCACTCCCCCCACCACCACCACCTATGAACAGGAAAAATAAGAATCCGGAGGGCCGTGGGTATCTCTGAGTTGTTGCATCTCGCGTTCCCTCATTTCCGAAAGGATAAGGCAGAGTTTCCTTTTGTATGAGCTGGGGGAGGGGGTGGGCAGCTGGGAGCCAGCGTGAGGCGATGCTGTGGGAGAGAGAGAGAAAGGTCGAGAGTGTGCGTGCGACAATGCATGATGTCGATCCCAGGGTGGAACGTTGAACATCGCGGAGATACGTGTGATCCTGGGAGGATTCAGAACAAAAAGGATGAGACTTCAGTTGGAATCCACATGGGGTGAGTCTGAGCTGGGGACAGTCACTGAGGAATGTGATATGGCTGTGGAAACAAGATTCAGCAAATACTTTGTGGAGCACAAGGAGCGGCAATGAAATTAATGATGTTGAACAGGAAAAAAAAATGATTGGAATGGGAAATCCTGTCAGAGAGAGGAGCAGAACTTCATCAGGGTGAGCATGCCTGGAGGAGGTGGGGCAGCGAGTTAAATATGAAATAAAAACCGATAGAACCGCAGATGCTGGGAATCTGAACATAAAAGTAAGGATGTTCTGCTTCAGTTACACAATATTTGAGATGTGGTCTCATCTGTGTGCAGTTCTGGTCTCCTTATCGAAGAGAGCCTGTATAGACGTTAGGGGCAGTTCAGAGTGGGTTTACAGGTTTGATAGCTGGGTTGTTCTATGTGGAAGCACTGGACTGACTGCACTAGATCTCACACAGGTTTAGAATAAGGGGTGACTTGAGTAGAGATATACAAGATTCTGAATGGTCTTGACAAGGTGGATGTGGAGGGATATTTCCTCTTGAGTGAATCCAGGACTAAGGGCTATCGTTTTGGAGTTAGGAATGTTTTTGGACAGTGTGGGGAATTATCTCTCAGAACGTTGAGAGAGTTTGGAATTCTTTCGGAAGGTGGTGGAGATGGGGCTATTGGGTACTTTCCAGGCAGAGGTGGATAGGTTCTGTTAGGCCAATGAGGCAGATAGGGATGTGGAATTTGAAACCCCACAGATCGGCCATACTCTTGAATGGGGGAGCGAGCATGATGGGCTGAGATGTCTATTTTGCTTCCTAATGAGACCAAAACTGTACGCAATAGTCCCAGTGCAGTCTCTGATGGCCTATAATGTTGTAGCAAGACTCTCCAATTTTAATACAGTTCCCTCTACAGTGTTACTCACTATCTCCTCACCGTCGACCTGTACCTCACATTTACCCCAGTTTGACCCCCACCCCAACTTGAATGAAGACCCTGTGGTCACACCTGGCAGCGGTGGGTATGAGTGGTGGGCTGTGCAAGGGTTACGGGGAAGTGAAGGGTGGGGGTGTTCTGGTCTCTCAGATCTGAGGGTTCCCTGCCCCAGTGCTACAGTTTCCGTATCAACATCTGTGGATACAAAGACAGACAGCTGTCACTGAGCTTAGCATAAACCACTGGGACATGACACAACCCTCAGTTGCTGGGACAGTCAGGATTTGATGGTAGTTACCCCAGTTCAAGTGGGTACCTGTGTGGTGTGATGGTTAAAGCCCCCTGCCCCTGCCCCTGCCTCGGAAGCTCCAGGACTTCCAATGCACGCTGCTAAGAGTGGGAGAAATTCCCACCTGGCCAGAAGTCACATTTACCCCATGTTAATACTGAATGTTAGAGTATGAGGCCACTCAGCCCATCGAGTCTGCTTTGGTAATCCCCGACACTTGCCTGTTGGGTGATGGGAAGGAAGTTGGACTCTTTGCTGTCACTAACTGTAACTCCAGGCTGCAACGTGTGAAAGTGTCCATTACCCCAGCAAACCCCACCTTTGAATGACCGATGCCCCCTTACCTGTCCTGCTTCTGATATATCAAATCAAACCTTTAATCCGGGAGGGTGCTGAAGGCTCCTGATTCCCGACAGATCTGTGAGGAGATAGTAGGAACTGCCGATGCTGAAGAATCCGAGACAACGAGGTGTAGAGCTGGATGAACACAGCAGGCCAAGCAGCATCAGAGGAGCAGGAAGGCTGACGTTTCGGTCCTAGACCCTCTTTCAGAAATGGGAGAGGGGAAGGGGGTTCTGAAATAAATAGGGAGAGAGGGGGAGGCGGATAGAAGATGGATAGAGGAGAAGACAGGTGGAGAGGAGACAGACAGGTCAAAGAGGCGGGGATGGAGCCAGTAAAAGGTGAGTGTAGGTGGGGAGGTAGGGAGGAGGTAGGTCGGTCCAGGGAGGACGGACAGGTCAAGGGGGCGGGATGAAGTTAGTAGGTCGGAGATGGGGGTGGGGCTTGAGGTGGGAGGAGGGGATAGGTGGGAGGAAGGACAGGTTAGGGAGGCAGGGACGAGCTGGGCTGGTTTTGGGATGTGGTAGGGGGAGGGGAGATTTTGAAGCTTGTGAAGTCCACATTGATACCATTGGGCTGCAGGGTTCCCAAGCGGAATATGAGGTGCTTGTTCCTGCAACCTTCGCGTAGCATCATTGTGGCACTGCAGGAGGCCCAGGATGGACATGTCCTCTGAGGAATGGGAGGGGGAGTTGAAATGGTTCGCGACTGGGAGGTGCAGTTGTTTAGTGTGAACCGTGTGTAGGTGTTCCGCAAAGCGGTCCCCCCGATGTAGAGGAGGCCACAATGGGAACAGCGGATGCAGTATACCACATTAGCAGATGTGCAGGTGAACATCTGCTTGATGTGGAAAGTCTTCTTGGGGCCTGGGATGGGGGTGAGGGAGGAGGTGTAGGGGTAGGTGTAGCACCTCCTGTGGTTGCAGGGAAAAGTGCTGGGTATGGTGGGGCTGGAGGGGAGTGTGGAGCGGACAAGGGAACGCTGCAGCCCAATGGTATTAATGTGGACTTCACAAGCTTCAAAATCTCCCCTCCCCCTACCGCATCCCAAAACCAGCCCAGCTCGTCCCCGCCTCCCTAACCTGTCCTTCCTTCCACCTATCCCCTCCTCCCACCTCAAGCCCCACCCCCATCTCCGACCTACTAACTTCATCCCGCCCCCTTGACCTGTCCGTCCTCCCTGGACTGACCTATCTCCTCCCTACCTCCCCACCTACACTCACCTTTACTGGCTCCATCCCCGCCTCTTTGACCTGTCCGTCTCCTCTCCACCTGTCTTCTCCTCTATCCATCTTCTATCCGTCTCCCCCTCT